CCTCTTGAATCCATTATTTCTTGTGCTGGCCACCTGCAGTGTAGTCTGTTAACTTCAGTTTTGATCTGTGTAGCCAGTGTTTGATTAATGTTTTATCTGCAGATGGGAGAAGTGAGAGGTGTGGGGGTCAGCAGGGTCAAACCTACCGCTTCAGCACTTTTCTTGATGAGCAACTGAAGTTATTTCTAGAGCAATAAAAAACTGAAATGTTTCAGTAAAAAACATTTCTTCATCTTTTGTGGTCTGGTCCTGGTCACCCACGGGAGGATCTTTAGGAGAGTCTACACAAGGTCTCTCTGACAAGAACAATTCTAGACTTTCTAGTGAGAGCAGTCCCAGTGACCTATGGATTCTCATCACTTGGTCCTTAGTCACTCACCGCTCAACATTATGTGTTAGCTTAGTCTTGTATCACCTGTTTCATGGTAGACTGAAAACACCTTGGTGTGTGACAAGGAGCTTATGTTGCTGGTGTTGCACAAGGATTGTCTCTACGATGTAGATACCTAATTGATGTGTGGTTTTTGTGTTAGGATAAACAGGCACTTGCTGATCAAAAGAAAGCCAAGTTCCATCAGACAGAAGGTGACCACCTCACCCTGCTGGCTGTGTACAATTCTTGGAAGAATAATAAATTTTCAAATCCCTGGTGCTATGAAAATTTTATCCAGGCCCGATCCTTACGCAGGGCACAGGATATTCGCAAGCAGATGTTGGGCATTATGGACAGGTGAGCATGACAAGGAAGACAAGTAGTGACTTTGTTTCTTGTTCTTACATTGTAGTAGCTAAACAAAATTTCCTAAACTGATGTTGTTAGCTGTGCCCAGATCTGGAGAACTCTTCACTTTTTTCTCTTTAACTCTTGTCTGGCAGGCACAAGCTGGATGTGGTATCCTGCGGGAAGGCAACAGTTCGGGTCCAGAAGGCCATTTGTAGTGGCTTCTTCCGAAATGCAGCTAAGAAGGATCCCCAGGAAGGTTATCGGACACTCATTGACCAACAAGTAGTCTATATCCACCCATCCAGTGCCCTCTTCAACAGGCAGCCAGAATGGTAAGGAAGGCAGTAACATGACATTTTCAGTTTCGCTTCAGACCTTATTACAGAGAAGGTTGTGGGTGCACTGTTTGTAGAGTACAGATCCAAGCAGATGCTGCTGATTCCTCAGCAATGAGCAGAGTGAGAAGTTTCAAGCCTGCTTTTGCTCTTTCTGCTGCTAAACTTAGCGCCTGTGCAGAGATGAGACTGACTTTTGGAGCCAAGGCCAGGCCTGAAGGTCTGCAGTTGGATGTTTCTGTATTGTGGAAGTGAGTTTAAAACACTGAGTGTTGAAGAGGGAGAGAGGATTGTTTTAAATGAAATGAAGGAAATCTGTACTGAAGAGTAGTTGTGCAGTAGGAGGGGGAAAATAGTGATAGCTCTTCTGGATGGTTCTTTTGGAGCCTGCGCTTGGAGCTTATAAGGAGCCTGATGCTGAAGGAGGTAAAGAGGCAAGCATAGATACTCTAGGCCTTGCCTTGTCGCTTCTCATTTGGAAAAACTGATTTCCAGAGTTGCTGTCCTTTCTCACAGGGTGGTGTATCATGAACTGGTTCTGACCACCAAGGAATATATGCGTGAAGTGACAACTATTGATCCACGCTGGCTGGTGGAATTTGCACCAGCTTTCTTCAAGGTTTCTGATCCCACCAAGCTGAGCAAGCAGAAGAAGCAGCAGCGGCTGGAGCCCCTGTACAATCGCTACGAGGAGCCCAATGCGTGGAGGATATCCCGTGCATTCAGGCGGCGATGAGCATAGTTCCCTCCTGGACTCTGGCTGGTTTTACATTTGTGGGACTGAGACTTTTGCACTGTTGCCAGTGTCCTGGAAGACAGGACATTCCCGTGAAGCTCACCTGAGCCATGAATAGGTAATCAGCTCTGGCAGAGCAGAAGCTCAAGGGATGCCCAGCTCAGCACAGAAGTGCTGTAGCTCTGCAGGTCACTGCAGCCTCTTAGAAGTGGGTCTTGCAAGAGCACTTTTTCAGTTGTTCGCCTTTTAAGAGACAAAACCTAAGACTCAGAAGCCTGGGCACTGAGCTGAACAACAACAAAAAGGTAGTGATTATAAACTGGTTGTTCACCAACCTGACTGTGTTCTGAGTGACAAGAAAATAGAGGCTGGAGTAGCTTGTTTCTTTACCCTGCTAAAAGGGATTTATTTTTACTTATGCTCTTGGACAGTGACTGCTTTTTGAGAGCTACTCATTCTCCATTTTTCCTATTTTATGCATTTTCCTGTTCAGTGTAACTCTGTCATTTATTCAGGCTGTCTATGGTGAGATCTTTAGTATCTGTAGCTTTGGGATAAGGCAAGAAAGATCCCTTGAAACCCAGCTAGACTGGACACTTGGACAGTGGCACAAGTTTTGTCCTTCATCCCCATTTCCTGGGTGCTGAAGGCTGGTCTATCACCTGGTACTTACACCATCCCCTCTGCAGCACGACTGTCTGAGAGCATAAGTACTTACAGATCTCCAGACTTTCTATACAATGCGTCATGTGTTTTATTTCCACTTAGAATGCACTCTTACAGCTAAAATGTCTGTAAAACTTGTGTAACAGTTTCTTGTTCGAAAAGAAGTTAACTGCCCAGATCATGCTGAAGCTATCTGTAAATGATTTTTTCTAACAGATGAAACTTACTTGGTTCCATAGCTGCAGAAACCCTTTTTTTTGCACAGCTGGGATATTTGCTGAAATTACTGAAATGAGAATGAATTGAAGAACGTTTCACACTGTATCTGTACAAAGGTGGGCAGGGGTGTTGTTAATTGTCCTGAGTTTCCCCCGATGTTACATTTTCATAAATTCAAAGAGAATTACTGAGTTTGTAAGTTTGGACAGCAATGAGTGTGTCCAAAACATGCTTGAAGCTAATTCAGGGAAATAGAAACAAGTGCTATAGAGAAGCAGCTCAACAAAAACTGAAGTGCCACAAGCTATTTCAGTTAATAAGCTCCCCTGAGACACCTTCCTCTCTCCTGCTTTGCTTTTTCATCTGGTACTGTCCAGAAGCTAACTAAAACTCCGGAGCTTGGCTCAGTGGCCAGTGTAGTGTCAGCATGGAGTGTGGGCGATGTTCTCTGCAGCTGCAGAAAACTGTTCCCCTGACACCAGGTGCAGCTGGAGGCTACACTGCGATCTTTCAGGCCTGGTTATGACTATGTCAAGGGAGCAAAGTGTTCATTTCTTGAACTCCATCAAGATTGAGAAGTAAACATGCATCCCTGAGCTCTCTGGATCAGCTACCCAAAGCTGGTGCCAAAGAGGTGGGAAAAGCAAACTCAGAAGGTAAGGGAGGACCAGGCTGGGACTCAGTGAAGTTGCAATGGCCAAAGACATAGAGCAATTTATTAATTATAGTATTTTTACACTCATAAATAGTAAAGGCAGCTTATACCAAAGGAAGGGTTCCCCTTCACCCTCACTTCTGGGACACCACAGAAAGTGTGCTGAACAGGTGAGCGCAGGGCAAGGCAGGAGTGCCAGGAGCTGCCAGAACACCAAGGCTCTGGAGTGCACAGGGCATGCAAAAGCATCAGCAGATCTGGCCTCTCCTCAGGCAGGGAGAGCTGCCTTACATGGCTCTCTTGCTCAGGGACAAGGCTGGGAGGGTTGGCATTAGCCATGCAGAGGAGAGTCATCGGGGGAAATCAGGCTTTCAACCAACATACAGAATTTTTACTACAGGCTACCATGCTGGCAGGATTGGCAGTGCTCTGTGTTCAGCAGCTGAAGTATCAATCTGAAGCAGTAGGAAACAGGCTTTTTCTGTACTGCTACACCATGCTGCTCCTTGTCTACCTGGGAACATGGTTGGAGCTGCTAATTAAAAAGTGAGGCACCTTCTGCTGAGGATGTGGTGCCCATTATGAAATGTTCACTATTGTGGAAAACCCGTCAGTCTTGTTAAGTTGCATGTGCTGCATTGGGCTGCAGAGAGCCCTCAAACATGCAGACATCTGTGGAGGTTAAGTCTGAATTCCAGTATTAAGATCTATGTATGGCTTAGGTTTCTTACTATAGCATTTTCTTATCATACCTCCACCAGGTTCTTTTCTTGCCTCAGATGATTTTCTGGCCAAGCTCAGGATGGGCATGCTCAAGAGCCTGACAGGTCTTCAAAGATCCTGAGTATGGTTGTTGAAGAGGTTGTTCAGTTTGGAAAAGCCACAACACACTGAGCTGGTGTCTCAGGCCTTGTTGCCTTCCACAATCCCTCTACCTGAAACATAGCATTGGCTGTGACCTGTGCCCCAGACCAATGCAGTCAGGTAGCACTGTAGTTCCCCTAAATTTTGTTGTGCCATGTACTCCAGGACTGCTCTAATCCTGGCCCATGCCTCTAGCTACCCTGCTCAGAGTGCCTAAATACCATGAAGTCCTGGCATGAGCAAGGGGGTGATAAGGCAGGAGCATGCACATACAAGACAAGTGTTCCTGAGGAAGGCACAAGGTCTGTGACCACTGTCCTGCAGCCATCCTGGGAAGAAGGCAAGACCAGCCTTGCAGAGGCGAGTCCTTGTGGTCAGAGCTGAGGGCAGGTTATACAGTGGTTCAGTACATGTACTGGAAGAATGGAGTCAGCAGCAGCCTTGCAGCATTCTCCTATCTGAAAGCCAGGTGGAACAGCATTCCCTCCCTTTCCAACAAGAGGGACTGCGACAGGTGTGTTTGATCCAGCTGGCGGCACCAATTACCCAATATAGTGCTGAAGCTGTAGCTCCACTGCTGAGAACAGGTCCCATCCTGACACATATGAGGGTCTTACCACAAGCACACAAGAGCCCTGTCAGCTGTGAGGTGATTATCCTGTGTACCTAAACACTTGTCCAGACCAAAGCAGGTAATTCATAGTTTACAGCTGTCCTGAATAAATGCTGATACTGATTGAATACTAACCAGCCATCTCTTCTATATGCAACCACAAGAGGCCCAGTGTACTCCCAGCAGTGCTAGTATGTGTAGCCTTTGCTGTAAAGCTGTGAAGGGAAGCTCCCAAGGTCTGGCAGATAAGTGGCATTCTCATCCAGGTGAGAAAGAGGCACTGTATCCTCCTCACTGATCTGCCGGTCAAATTCTGCCTTCAGCGTTGGCCGCTGATTGTCAGGGAAGGCCAGAGAGAACAAGGCCTCAGGCTCACACACAAACTTGTACACGTAGCGCTCCCCAGCCACCTGCAGGGAAGAGATGAGGTGAGGTGAATGATGCTGTCCCACGGGCAGCACTAAGGCAATGCTCCTTAGCACCAGGAAAGGCTTGCAAAAACATCTGTGCTCTAGCCAATTGCCCTGAGACATATCAGAGTTCTTGTGCTGTCCTCCTGCTTCTCTGTTGCTGTGATCTCCCATGGAACAGCTTCTGGGAAAGGGCATGCTGCTGGCTGACTCTTTGTCCAGGTAACAACAGCATCACCAGTCCCTGCGTGGTCTGTAGTGTGACAGTTGCACTCTCAGTTATCTCTCCAGTGCCCTGAATCTGGCACAGACCATCCCTACTACATAGGGCCAAGCCCCAGGCAGCCTTTCTCTCACAAGAGCAGGTCTGGACTGGTACCTCCCTGCACCTGCATAAATTCCAACTCTCCTGACGGCAGACATATACAGAAAAATTATTCCCCATTGTTTTATTTCTCATACATTGCCTACGTTCAGCTCCTTCACAGCTTCCCCAATTAACTGCTGCAAAGAGAAGTGGGGGCAGCAAGCTTGGGCTGCCTGGCTAGCTCAAGGATATTCTGTGCCTGTAGGACTTCCTGTCTCAAACAAGAGAAGCATCACTTAAATCCTCCTGCTTTGCAAACTGACCTTCTGCATTATGCCTTTCTCATAATAGTAGCGAAGGGATCGGCTCAGCTTGTCATAGTTCATGGCTGGACGGTTCTTCTGGATCCCCCACAGCCTGGCCACCTGCAGAATAAAGCATCAAAGTGTGGGAATGTCTGTGAGCCCAACCCAATGGCAAAAGAACATTATCCAGCTGGATCTCTTTTGAGGAATGGTACTACAACACATACAAACATTTAAATAATAGACTCATCCATAATTTTTTAGCAGCTTTTTAACAAGAGGAGAACAAACTGAAGCACTCTGTACTGCAGAGACATCCTGCAGAGCTCGTTTGCTGTCACCACTTCTCCCCCTCCAATACTCTGAAAGCTTAAGGATGCCAAAGAGCTGTTTCATCCCATGCTACACTTAATCCTCAAGGGTCCCATATTTACCAGGTGCCCAAGTATGAGGGAACACAGTGGAAGACTCATGTGCTTTCCTACTCGTACATGATTTTCAGCTTTGGCCATGAGATTCAGAGATCTGTTGTAAGCATATGTCAACACACAAAGACAACTCATCTGCACTTAAAATGCCCATAAAGGTTGATATGTAGCAAAAACTATGTTAAATACAACTCTAGTTGGAACAAGGTCTGAGCAGACATCTCAGACACTGTCAGGTATCACTGAGGGTTTTTTTGGAACATGGCAGCATTAGAAATTGCACCTTAGTTAATGTCATTTTGATATGAAGAGAAATTTAGACTAGGATATATTTTCTTCCAGACTCTTATGAAAACTCTGCAATCACTAGGGCTAAAACCTCCAAACCTCAATGTCAGCCTCAAGTATGGAGTGTGATGAGACAGCACAGGTCACTGCAAGCTTGAGAGTGAAGTATCTAAGGAAGTGAAGGCAGTGGATAATTTGACTCACTGCATTGCTGAGATTCTAAACTTACATACAAGCAGCCTTTCTTAAACCTGATACTTGTGTCACCCAAGTGTTTTGACCTCTTCTAAAAACCTTGGCTTGCTGCAGGATCTAGCAAGTACCAGTGGTAGGCAAAAGCTTCACAGGGCAGAGGAAAAGACACTTGGGAATTCGCAGCCCCCAAAACAGTGGCTGCTTCCCCTGAGCCTGCAGAGAAACTCAATGGTTTCACCTCTTCTGGCTCAATGAGTTTGAACTCCAGCCCTCTACCAGTCCAGGCAATGAAGTGGGAATTGGCTGGATCATCCAATAGAGCCACAAGAAATTGCCAGAGCTGGAGAGATCCCCGTCTCTGGTATAGAGGTCTTTCCCGGTACCCTCCAGCTTCTTGTTTAATGTCTCCTGCTGAGAAGAACAAACAAGGTGTTTCTAAGGTTAACACTGCAAAAACTTTCGGCAAACAACCCAACCCAACCCAAAAAACAACCAACCAAAAAAAAAAAAGAAGGAAAAGAAAAAACCCCAAAACAACAAAAAACCAAACTAACCCAAATCAAACAAAAAAAGCACCCAACTGAAAACCCCAATAAGCCAAAAAAGCACATTTCACAAATGGTTACCTGGAATATTTCAGTGCACATAAAACAGAGTGGCCAATTCACAAGCAACTCTTCCAAGAGGAGTTCTGGTGAACCTCACAGTTAAGCTACTTATGCTAGAAGGTCTGCTTGCTGCTAAAAAAGCTCAAGAAATGGAATACCAAAAAGCTGTGTATGAACCACAGCTAACACAGCTGCAAGAACACAGTGTAGCGAACTATGTAGACACTGGTAAAGTGGCTAGCAAAGATGCTGGATAACCCTATCTTACACCCAAACTCCAAGCCATTCTTTCTCCGACCTTCAAATTTTTCTGGAACAACACAGACATCATCAGTAAAGGACCTCATCTGCTTGTCATAGCTGCAGCCTGAAAGAGAAAGCAACATAAGCAGTTGTAGACAGCCAGGGTAGTACCAGAGGGAAATTCTGTGCAGGGAAAAAAAGACAGTCGCTGCATTTCTTACCTAATGTGTCTTCTGTATTTGAATGGCTTGGATAACTCTCAACATTTGTGTACATGGAAGGACAGTCAGGAACATCTACAGAACAATTAACAAACTCATTTATTCAAAAAACACAGGTGGCCAGGTGATCTTGCTCTCCAGAGGTGAATAGGTGAGCACAGCTGTCTAACCAATGTCCTCTGAGTGCCCTCCTAAAGGGTTAGTGGTAGACTGATAGTTACAACTACATCAGCCTTACAATAATGAATTACAATGCTAAGTTTTTGTGGCACTATCACATGACGTCCTTCAGAGCAGCTAGGAGAGCCAGCTAGTCACCACTACACCACTCTTCATACAAAATCTTGGACAATGGGCTAAATCTGAATGATACCTCTCCCTCATCTTAGCTGAGGATAACTACACACTCTGCTACTGTTTTGCCAGGTAAGAAGGCATTCTATTTTTCCAGGGGTACTATGGTGATGTAAATGGAGTGCAGTAGCATTTGAATGTCTCTGCAGACAGTGTCTCTCAACCGTCACTTCAGATGTCTCAGGTCTCCCTGGCTTTTTAACATCGTCATGGGTGTTATCACAAACAGTTGAGAAAATATAAGGGAAAAATAGCCTGAGTTTAAAAACAAGCAGAAAGTCTTTTCATGATCTCTGTGCAGTGTCTATTACAGCCTGTGTGCTGCAATTTTTGTCTTCTCTATCTATCTTGTGTTTCCTGAATCAAACTTATTTTCTATCCACAGCTGAAATGGAAGCTGTAACTGGGAGCTTTGGAATGGTTTACCTTATGTTTCTCTCACACTCCTGCATATAACCATTGCTTTTGGCAGATATTTTGATGATGTTAAGGGCAGAAAAGTACACTGAGCTGACAGACTGGGTGTTATTACAGTCGTAAACTACTCTCACAAAAAAGCATTCTTCTGCGTTTGCACATTTTCTTCCCCTGTCTTGACAGAAGGACCCAGTGGAAGTGTAATATCAGCATCACCACAGTGGTGGGTTGTATACCCCCATAGGAGCTTATTGTTTGCCTAGTGGTATTGTTTGTTTCTCTTGAAAGAAACAATTCAAGATGTCCATTAAAATACTAGGAAACTAGAAGTAACATTCCCTCTGGAAGAGGGTATTGTGATCTCAGGGTAGCAAGCCTTTGGACAGGTTGGCTGAAAAAACGAGATTTATCCCTTGTGCATAAGTAACAGGATCACTTGGTGGATCTGGTATCTAGAGAGCTATTTTTGGAATGGTAGACTTTCTTCTCTTGTATCCTCTGAAATCTCTTCTCTGTACCCTGTTTCTGTGGTAAGTAGCAAGTGGAAGCTGATACTCCAAGGGACACTAAGCAGCACACTGGCACTGAGCTGAGCCCACCCAGACCCTGCTCTGCACTTGTGCCTGCCCTTGGAGTCAGCCAGTTGCCTGTTTGCCACCCAAGTCTCTTTAGACTGTTTTAGTTTTAGGGTCTGTTCATTCAGGAGTTGCTTGCCCCCACTGATCCCTGGTTTATGCAGCCAGAACGAGCTAGTTCTGCTTACCTGAATCATACACATAGTCCACCTGCTCCTCCTTGATCAGCACAGCTGCTGGGTACTGGTGGTTGCTGCCCACTTGGCTTGCTTGCTCATATTGTGGGTCATGGTACTCCTGTTTGAAGCCCTGATGGGGGTACTGGGGGCAGGGTTTGGACATCTGGCACTGGTAGGCAATGGGATCTTCCTCCGCTATGCCCTGGGAGGAGGAGAAGGAACGACACATCTCCACAGGTGGCTGATACGCAGAGCTAGAAGAATAGAGATGACATGAGATGGCTGCTTTCCTGGCCCTCTCATTTCAGCCCTGGTACAAGGCTAGTTGAGGGACAGAAACTTGCTCAGCCTGTTACTAGGGCTATAGGAGCTCACTCATGGCTGGGGCAAGGAAGGGACCCCAGGAAAGGACATTTCCCAGAGTAGCTGCTACACTGTCATTCACAGAATCTGACAGGGTTAAGGTTATGGACTTCTTCAAACCCTAGGCAGCAGTGGTGGGTCCCATGGGAAGGGATCCTGTGCTTACTATAAATGGAGCACTTCCATCTGAATGCTGCAGTGTTTCCCCCCTGAACCACCAAGGAGGGCAATCTTTCTTGCCAGTGGCTGCCCCTTCCTAGCAGTAGCTCACCTGTTTTCACTGAGGTATCCACAGCTGGATGTGGATTGGGGTGGTCCCGGGGTCAGAAAGTTCCCGTCCTGCCTAGAGAACTGTTGGAGTGGTGACTGTATCAGGGTTCCTGGACTAGGGGACTTGATCCCAATTTGTCCTTGTTGATCATAGGCACTGGAACAGTCAAACAGACATTGGAGCATTACAGTTCTCCAAGAAGGACTTGTGGCAGCACCTGGGGACAGCGTTTCAAAGGCAAACATGCCGTCCCTCTGTGCAGCCACCTTGGCCAGAAAACTCCCGGCATAAATTCCCTGCTTTCTGACTGCTGATTGAACCCACACATAATAGCAACAATCCTTCAAGCAGGAAACCAAGGAACGTGTCTCTGCTGAAGAATTCACACTGTAGCTCAGGCAAATGCCTAGCACTGTGGGCAATGGTGCCAGGTGTGAGACAGATTTTGGAAAGCAATGGGGACAGGTGTGTGGTAGATGTCAAGGACAGCTGAGGAACACCACTAGGGAGAAATATAAAGAGCCAAGCCCAGATCTACTCTATACAGGTCTGAGCTGTCCAGTGCATCCATTCATCTGTACTGCAGCACATGCACTGCCCTTACTTAGCATACAGACCAGGCTGCTATCATATTCTCCATCAATAGCTAGTGCTGTAGCACTTGATTTCAGAACAGCTCTTGTCTCTCCCCTGTGTAAGGCTCATTACCTGGTGTAAAGGCACTGCTTGCCACTGTGGAGCTGGAACGGCTGTTTGTGGCTGCAGGACAGTGTGGGCTCTGAGGGGCTCTGCGGCTCCTTTTTAATCTGCACAGGACTGTGAAAGGTTACTGTGGGAGAGAAAGGAAAGATCAAATTGACACTTTTCTTCTTTATGGAGAGCTATGATTATCAGCCAATAAAAGGTCAGTGGATGTTCAGGATTGTGACTACAGTTTCAAAGATGGAAGATCCAATCCACTAACACCTCATATTTTTGCTGGGTTTATTTCAGGAGTGAGATGAACCCTACATGCACCAGTCATTCCCAGGCCAGTTCTCTCTCACGTAAAGGGCTAATTGTTTGTTCAGAAGCAAGCAGCTAGCAGAAGGGCTCTGTGTCTCTCTTGGCACAGGATATTGAGGACATTTTTCAACTGTGAACATCCCTCCCCAAAATTAATTCTCACAGCAAGAGATGAAAAAAACTCCAAACTCCTTTCGCCTGCCTTTGTTTTCATTCTACAACAGAAAAGCCCATCTTTACATCTTGCCAGCACCCACAGAGCTTGACAAAACCAACATAAATAAATAAATCTGTAAGATCCCAGAGCCTTACATTGTTTCTGGTTCCTACCACCCTTCAGGCACAACTGGCTTCCATGGCTCATCCTGCAGCTGCCCTCAGTCAGAGCACAGGGGCTGTCCACAAACAGCTCTGGGCACTGTCCAAACAGGGAGGGGGAGAGTGCTGACCAAGTGGTCTTCCCACACCTAGGATGGATTCAGTATTCTGAGCAGGACACTCCTCCATCTGTGCGAACACCTCAAACCAAGGAAAGAGCTATAAAATAAGAGTCTTTCTATGTCTGAGGCACCCATTTCCCTGTTTGCAGCAGCACTTTTCAATGTCTGGAGTAAACAGTTGAGTCTCAGGGGGAAAAAAATAAATTGCTGTGTCCAGTACACTGATCTGCATGGAAGTTTCAAGAAGCTAGATGTTTTCGGAGCAGCCAATTCTTTCCAGCCCCTAATAGTTGGAACAGGCTATCACATTACATCTGACTCATTAATTCACTCAGAGTGAAAATGGAACCATCCCTCTCCTCTGTTCTAGGTCAAAAAGGGGAAGAAATAAGATATATGACTCAAGAGAACAAGCCCAGCTGTGCTACAGGGCTGGGTCCAGGGAAAGGAGGTAAACAAGGGCAACCAGTAAAAGTGCTTCCTTTTAGTTTTCATGGGGAAGCTGCCCTGGGCAGAGGCAGGGTATCAGCACAGCAAAGGCACCATGCTTTGGATTTGCCCCTCTCCTCTGAGACAAATGATTGTTCCCGTGGTACTTACAGTTTTCTGAATGAAAGTCAGGCACAAATTGCTCATCACTGTCTGGAACCTGAGCTGTCAGGAGAGGCAAGGAGAGAGGGAGGGAGGGAAAGAAGAATTAGATTAGTCACTTTGTACAGTATAATTAACAATAAGAAATAAGTCTATGTAGCAAAAATCTGAGCTTTCTGCTGGGATGACTATAATGACAAAGGATACTTTCCCTTTGAGATTAATGAATACAGGTGTGTCCTGAGAGAAACTGTGGGGAGAACCTTAACCATAGCAGATGCTGTGTTAGAATATTTTATTACTTCTGACAATCACTTTTGTGTCCCTTTTGCTGCAGGGAAGGGACAGCTTGCAGCAGATTATTTCATAAAGTCTGTCACTATTGCTGAAAGAAATGCTGCAGCTAGTACACAACAGACAAACCTACAGTTTTTGTTACTAAACAACAGATTGCACTCTCAGCTCTAAAGCAAAGGTGATGCAGTCAAAGTAAAGGGACATATGGAATGGAAACCCACGAATGTCAGTCACTTGAAGCTAAGCTAGACAGACAAGCCATAAATAAAGCTCAGGGAACAACATTGCACTAATAGGGAATGAATTAGAATGGAACTAGCCAAGCTCTTTGTAATGCAATCACTGTTCCTTGAAACAGCTGTAAGACAGCAAACTTGAGCAATAAACAATTAAAGGTGGGGAACAGAGGAAAAAAACCCCTAGAAAATTCATTCTATGAATTGTCTTTTAAAAAGGAACATGGAAATAGAAGAAATGATCACACTGTATGAGCTGAGTTTGGATTTTGCAGCCTTGATGTCCATCTGTGGCATCACTGAAGATCTTGTGAAGAGAATTACATACTGAAAGCAACAGACCACAGAACAGATGTGAAATGAAGGGCAAGGCTGGAGTAAGAGCATGCAGCCTCACTTCTGGGCAGTCATGTCTGCAGGCAGCTACAGTCCTGTGCTTAGAAGGCTGAAGTGACAGCTGTCAGAAGAAAATTTCAATTTTTATATTAATTATCTATTTCATATAGTTGAAATACAAAGAGAGCTTTCTTGTTCTCCCTAAATCAACACCTATACTTAAAAGAACTGGGATAATTAATCAGACTCAGCCTTGTTTCAGTCACTCAGGCTGCAGGCATTGACACAAGCCCCACCACTTCCCACACCCCTTTCAGGAGCTGAAGCAGCAGAACTCAAGTTTTCTGCCTAAGGATACCCAGTGACGTGAATCTCCTCTTTGCAGTCAGCACGGTTACCTGCCTGTGCCACTTTTCTCCAAGGAAGATTTTTTTGTTTGTTTCTCTGAAAGCTAGAGCAGTTGTATAAATTATTTGGCTTGAAACATAGAGTTGCCAAGTGCCAACTTCACATTAGTGCAAACTACAAGATTCTGGTCAAAATAATGCAAAGGAAAAACTTACAGATTCATCCTACACATACTCTGCTACTGACAAAATATTGTAGGAGATTTCATGCAAATTCTTTAGGTTAGGGAGGTAAAATTATTATCAAACATTAGAAAGTCTAAATTTGAAAGTCTACCAGAAATCAGTTCTGAGGCAAACATCTTCTTGGCAGCTTGAGTTTTCCTGAGATTTAAAAGAAACCAGTCGAGGATGTGTGCACATTCAGCAGATCTATTACATGACCAGCAATTAATTCCTATTTTTCTGCTCTAAGTTAGGTGAATGTTTCAATACTAGAACAGTTTGCAGGTAATTCCTATCGCATCTTTACAACCCTTACAACTCATCTTTACAACCCTTACTCTCCTGAAACACTGCCTGATCAATGTAGTCTCATTTCAGTTCAGTCTGAAATGAACACAAAAGACGTGATTTTTTTTCCCCTTAATAATCTTACTTAGTTGGCAAATTCCTTTTTGGATGCTTAAAAAAAGAAACGTTTGACAGGACTGTCCTTCACTTATGGCTAAATTAGGGGAAATAACCCTGCTCAGAGTGCTATGCATATTTTTATACTATTACCTTAAATATTTATAAGTATCTAGATCACAATAAGTACTGTTGTATTAATCGGGAGTCTGTACTTGAGGATATATTTTGAATTTTCTAGAAAATGGATCATTCCTAGTACTGGAATTAGAGAAAATTCACCACACTGCTTAAAACTGGTTTCACTCGGAATTAATGGGACTCCCTGGGATTCGAAGTTCAAAGGCAAAACTGAACGGTGTATAAATTCCAGGTAGGTCCAACCAAAGCATTATATTAAAAAAAAAATTAAGAGAAGCATTTTGTTCCCCAGATGGAAAGAACAGTTTGTTGTTTAAGAAAATATCGTTCTGACAAACAAAGATAGGTGGCAAATTAGCATAAAATCGAACCAGTTACAAACAGCCTGAAACGAAAATTGTATCCAGGAAAGTGGGCCAGCGGCCAAGCTCCATTCATAAGCAAATGGTCAGCACAATGGTGTGATTCAGCGTCTTCATTTACACAAGCCAGAGGCTAGCAAGTCTGAAGAAAACACTTTTGTTTGGAGCCAGGCAAACACAGCAAGGGACCAGGACAAACCTCAAAAGACAAATCAGAAACGAGCAAAACCAAAGAGAGCAAGGAGAATGAGCCTACCTTCAGTCAGCCAGGTCTCCTGGAGCTGACTCAAGTCCTGGAAGAGCTCTGCAGAAGAAGGGAGAGGATCCTCAGCGGAGCGCTGGGGAGGGACAACGGGATGCTCCAGGCACGGCGACGCCGGCGGAACGAGGAGGTGGGGACGGAGGCGCAGGGGGAGGACCCGGTCCCTGCCCAGACACCTCCACCATCCCCATCCCTCCCTCCACCCTCAGCCCCCCTCACCTTCCTTTTTTTTTCCCGGCGACACGCCCGGCTCACCGGGTCTCTTCCCAGCTCCTAGCAGAGCGCCGCCACCGGGCGCCGCCTGGCCCGGGGGCTGCTGCGGGAGGAGCAGATCAGTGCGGAGTCCCAGCCAGAGCGGACCCCGGCCCGGAGCCCCCGGA